GCACATTAAACCTATGAATTAACAGACAGCATAGTTAAAGCTAAGGTTAAAAAGGTGAATCATTTTAAAGTAGATTTAAAGAAAAATATTAACCCAATGGTATAGCAAGATAGTGAAAATATTAAAAGGTTTATGCAAACATTGTAATTTAATATATTCTGATTTTTGTTTGTTTGTTTGTTTGTCTGGATAAAGCGTTAATGAAACTTTTCTTTTTCTGAGGACATTTTTGACCTTGGGTTAACTTTCTGTTTCCCTGAAAACCTGATAAGGGTAGAATATCCGTTGTGTTATAAGGCAACAACATTGTTTTGGTACAAGACAGTTTGCAGCCTATTTTATAAATAAAGTTTTACTGGAACACAGCCACACCACTTTGTTTATATTGTCTATGACTGCTTTCATGCTACAACAACATAATTGAGTAGTTGTGACTGAGATCATATAGCCCACAGAGCTGAAAATTTTTATGATCTGGCCTATGGTAAAAATAAGGCAATTGTAAATGACATCTTGCTTGGGAATTCTTAAGTGAACTCTTAACACCAGGTAGGAAGTCATGGCTTTGGCCTCTGTGTCCTGTGATTCTTGTAACTGGGACTCTAAAAGCTGTACCTATGGAGTCCTTAGAAGTGTTACAGGCTCCCGTGGGACATGGAGTTTCTAAGCCAAGGTGGATACTGCCCACGGATGTGGTTCGAGTCTCCTTGCACTGGAGCTGTTACTTGAGGGGCTGTGGTCACTCCATGGATGGCTGCTAGGACTCCCACTGAGGATGAAGACCTGATGAACCTGCAGGCATGCTGTTTTCTATGTGGAGCCCCTGGATCTGAGTGACAAATGTGAACCAAATGGGTCTTGAGTGTTTGACTGTCTAGTAGAGTCTAAGAAGAGCCCCTTGGATGTCCAATTTCTTTGATGTGCTTTGCTTGTCATGCAAAAGATGTGTGCTCACAATGTTATAAACATCCAGGACTATAAATTTGACAGATGGCTGCTGCATTTCCAAACCATACCTTTAGGTCCTCTTGCTCCATCAATTCCCGAAAATCCAGGGGGGCCTGGAGAACCTGGCTCACCCTGACAATTTAATGAAACAGAAGACTTTAATCAGATTTCAAATACAAATGGCACATGCATGACATGATCCAGTTACAACTTTCTATAACCAATTTGGTTTTTAGAATTCGCAGTGGTAATTAAAATTGAAATACATTGCAAGCATCCTACTACACATGTCTAGTTTTTAAAAGTTGATAAAATCCCATAATTAGAGCTATCAGTAGCAACAGGTAACATCCCATTCTCTATATTTGGTTTCAAAACAGTAATTGTATTACATTACTTGAATTTAAAATTTGGAATGAACAAGTTGATCTAAATAAAATATTATTAGAAGTCATATCATACTAAGGACTTTAGAAATCCATTTTATTCCAAAAGATGGATAGTGCATTATATTATACATTTTCCAAAAGTATAATGTAGGCTACTACATTTATTGTATTAATACCTCCTGGCTTCTCAAGGGGTATTTTACTCATGATTGTGAAGACCAAATATATTTAAAGTAAAATCTGTGATATTTGTGGATGGAACAGGAGAATATTATGTTAAGGGAAATAAGCCAAGCACAGAAAGACAAATCTCACATGTTCTCACTTATATGTGGGAGCTAAATATTAAAAACAATTGATTTCATGGAGACAGAGAATAGAATTATGGGAAAGGTGGTAGGGTGGAGCAGGAGCGGATAAAGTGGGGATGGTTAATGGGTATAAAAATATAATTAGATAGATAGAATGAACAAATTTGATAGCACAAGAAAGTGACAATAATCAACAATAAGTTAGGGTATACTTTCAAATAACTAAAAGAATGGAACTGGAAAGTTCATAACACAAAGAAATGATAAATGCCTGAGGTGATGGATTCCCCAATCACCCTGATTTGATTCAATTGCATTATATGCTTGTATCAAAACATCACATGTACCCTATAAAGATATACAACTATTGTGTACCCATAATGATTTTTTTTAAAAAATCTGTGATATCTGAAATTGGATAGGAAGGCTTAGAAAACAGAATTTGAGTGATTTTTCAAGATTACTTTTCATTCCAGTAAACCAGCAGACAGGAAGCAAGTCTGTACAGAGCTGTTTAAGCCAGGCTGGGGTATGTGGATTATGATGCAGTCGTCTGTGTTAGGTCATCTATGCTAGGGGAACCGAGCAAGAGCACTACCAGAAACTTCAGTTACATCACGACCTTCTAGAAGACTGCCTTCTTCCCTTGTGCTACCCCTTGCATTTTAAAAGTCAGTGAAAGAGCAACGCTATACACACAAATTATGACTCCTCATGGACAGCCTAAGAGCAGAAAGGTTTTATTATTTCTTCGCTCACAAAGCAGTAGCCCCTTACCTGGTCACCTGGAAATCCCGGAAAACCAGTGATGCCTCTTATCCCAGGTGAGCCTGGGGGGCCTGGGGGCCCGGGATGCCCTGGCTGCCCGTGTCTACCAGGTTCTCCCCTGTGGAATCCAGGTGGTCCAGACCTTCCCGGCTCTCCTCTTCTTCCTTGCATACCGGGACTTCCTCTAACACCTGATGAGGTTGGAAGTGTTACTAATCACTTTGCAGAAATCTCGAGCTAGGCAATAGGCAAGCCGAGGAACTTGGTCCTACTTTTAGGAGATGAAACCAAAGGCATCGGGAATTCTGATTCCTGCTCTCAGCTGCTTCACAGCGGTCTCTGGCTTCAAGGAAGCTGCCCACGAATATATTCACAACTACCAGTGGTCGGAGGGAGCATATAGGAGCACTTGCTTCAACACATTCATTTTACAAACAAGGAAAACCTTGCCCAGAGAAGTTAAAACATTTGTCCCCTAAGAACTAATTAAGGGGAGAGCTAAGACAAGAACCCAGGCCACCTACAGATTAAGTCTGAACTTGGGGGAGAACACAAGTGTGGTGGTTCAAAATCCTTGCTATGGAATGTTTCCGTGGACCAGCGGGACGGCTCGGGGGCGCTTGTGGCTGCCCAGACCTGCTGCTTCACAAGACCCCGAGGGGATTCACACGCACATTGAAGTTGGAGAGGCACTGGTCAAAATGACTTGGACACTTACTGTGCTAGTCACTTTAAAACCAACTACCAAAAACAGATACTTTAAACCTGGAGCCAGTATTTTATGTACAGCTCAAGCTGATCCTAGTTTGGAATATCCAAATCTATAAATACATATAAACCTCAGCTAAGTTTTATCATAGAAAAGCAAAAAAAAGAAAATGTACCACATTCATTAATGGTTCATTTACATCTAAAAATGACCTTTCCTAATCTCAGTGTTGTTGGGAAAGTTGCCTAATACATACGATTGCTTGAATGAGCTGAAAAGATGTCAACGTAACTTGATAGACATAAAAATCATAAATGCTTACCTCTTTCTCCTGGGAGCCCATCATCTCCAGGAGGTCCAGTTTCCCCGGGTTTCCCCTTTTTGGAAATAATAGCCATCTCTCCTTCATCTCCGGGAGGTCCTCTCGATCCTTTGGATATTAATTATGTGAGAACAAAACAAAGAACAGCGCGGCACACGGAATTCGTCTGTTCTCACACTTCACTTCCAGTTTACAAATCCCCATTTGACCTCCTAAGCTGTATTCATGTTTATAGATCGCACAACATCAAGATTATTGACTGATTTCCTAAAGGAAGGACCATGCCTTTTACATTCCTGTCCCCACTTGTCCAGCCACAAAGTCTGGTGTTCCGTGAGTGCTTGGCGAATGTTTGCCACATTCAACCAAACTTGGCAGAATCTTCAGTGAGTTAAGACAGGTTTGAAAAGTTCCAGTCTACAAAAATGTCTCCTTATCCTGTAAAACTTCAATTGCCCATCTCACATTTCCAGTTCCACGTCTTCCCCTTCCTAGCCACCCTCTCCTTCCTTTCCTTACACTTATCTCAACATGGTTCCCCACACGGAGACTTCCAAAAGGTAGAAAGCGTGACTGTTTCTGCCTGATTTCATAAACACAGTCCAGCTGTAGCAGTGTGTTGGGGTGAGCTCATTCCAGCTTGGCGAGAGCCGATTATTAACAATTCAAGAATTTTATGAGCCAGTTACTAACCTTGCTAACGGTAAATCAGCCGTGGTGGGAGTGTTTACACCACAGCAATCAGCAAACATTACAAACAGGGCCTTTCTTTTTCTTTTTTTCTTTTTAGATTTCAAAGAACTGGTTTACTAGCACATCACTGGCATTAATCCAATTTTTAATTTTTAGTGGAGTAATTGTCTAGTAGCATAATAACACAGCAAACAAACATCACTTATCTAAGCTAGCAAAGAGTGACTCTTATTCTTTGATTCTACATAAATAATTTACAAGCTAGTAAAGCAAAACATAATAGTAGAATCATTCAACTAAGAAGAAAAGGTAATTTGAATTAAATATTAGGCTATTTGCCCAAAAGGCTTTACAGGCAAAATCCTTGTTTCTAGAAATTGTCAAATATTTCTTCTCAACGCTGGAAATGAAATGTTACCTTCACCCACAGCAGCCTCAGGGCTAAGGGCTAAAAGTAAGCATTTAGCAGGGATGGCCAAGGAACATCTAAAGCAGTGGTCTTGAAACTTCTATTTTTTTATAGTGATGAAAACTCTTCCTTTAAATGAAGCTTGTGGGAAACACAGCTCATGGCCCAGAGGGAAGTCGATTCCTTGTAGTTCCGAGGTTGCAAACTACAGCCTGCAGGCCGGATCCCTCCTGCTGCCAGTTTTTGTACAGCCCACGAGATATGAGTGGTTTTTACACTTTTAAATGGTTGGAGGGAAACTCAAAACCAGATAATATTTGGTGGCATGAAAATTATATGGAATTCAGATTTTAGCATTCATAAATAAAATTTTGTTGAAATTTTTAATTTTCTGTTTATTTATGAGTTGTCTATGGCTGCTTTCATGCTATAAAAGCCAAGTTGACTAGTTGTGATGGAGACCAGATGGCCTGCCAAGGCCGAAACAGTTATTATCAGGCTTTTTACAGAAAAAGGTTACCAGCCCCTGTTCTAATTGAAACAGTCTGGGGGACAGAAGACCTGCCTGTACCCGCTTCCTGACAATAGAGAAAGTTCTCCAAAATCCGAAAGCTATGAGTCAATGCATTGAGTAAGTACTGCTCATTAATTTTTTTCTATTAATAAAATAATTCATTTACTATAGTTATATATAATAAGATTGAGAGGTAAGGAAAATTAACTTTGCTTAAAATTCTGAAACAAACATCATATAACTAAAAGGAAGAGGAGTCCAAGCTGCAGAATAGTCCCATTTCATTTTGGGGTTCTGATCAAATACCGAAAACAAACGCATGTTGCATCGCTGTGCTGTTCCTTACCTTTGGCACCTCTCACTCCCTGCTCTCCCGGGAGGCCAGGATAGCCCTTCTCTCCGAGTTCTCCCTTTCTGCCAGCTTGTCCCTCCATGCCAGGCTTTCCTCTCTCTCCTGGAAAACCCGGGAAACCAGGCAGCCCCCGGGGTCCTGGTGAAATGAGAACATGAATTTTTAGGAAAACATTTTAAGGGCTAGTGTGGTTTTTATATCTTCGATGTTCCTTGTAGTTTACTCAGAGAGGCAAACTCCCACCTAACTCCGAGTTTATATTGAAAGTAAACAAGAGTTGTCAACCTCACTGCATTTAGCAGCTATGCTCTGCTGCCCAGTCCTCAGTTTCCTACCCTACAGACCTGAAGTGAGGCGCTTATGTATCTGGGTCCTGATCCCAAAGTGCTTTAAGAGGACAGGAGTGGGGATGAGGGGGGCCACCCAAAGTGAAATGTGTTACCCCAGACCTCAGGACTTTATCAGTGCTACCTGGTCCTTTGAGTTGAAGTGTTTATGGGTTCTGTGGACCTAACACCCTCGACCCCCTTTTCCTACTAATCTACACTAAAACATTCTGCCACTGGAAATAGCAATGCAGAGGACAGGAAGAAGGGAGATGTCGTCAAAGGAAGGACAAAGTCAGGCAACAGCAATCTCTATTAGTACAGTCATGGCAACAGGCACTGGATTCCAAGTTTATAAAATGGGAGGAAATAACGGAAAAGCACTACCTACCCTTCGGGCCCGGAAGACCAGGGAGTCCGTCATCCCCAAAGGGGCCTGGGATTCCTGGGGGTCCCGCGAGTCCACCTGCCCCTGTCAGTCCCGGGAGTCCAGGGAGACCCTTCATTCCAGCTGGTCCAGGGGGCCCCATGTCTCCTGGCTGTCCTTTCCAACCCGGGGCACCTGAGGCAAACCACAGTGACAACCGTGTGTGAAGGCTCAACACTGGCTTCACACACAGGCAGGAAAAGAGTACTCACAGTAGCTTCAATGATGTGTTAAACAAAAGCAAAACAGTATCTATCAGCTAAAATGACAGTAGCAACTTTCCATCAGTCTAAGAATACATTTTTCTGGATGCTATAAAAAGAAGAGCAGATCAGTTGAATAAATATTTCCCAGTAGGGATGAATGAATATTATGAAGAATTTTTTTCTATGTTCTTGAGTTGTTTTTCAAGGATTATGAAGAATTTTTAAATGGAAAATAGGGATGAATAACAAAAATTTTATTTGTATTTACTCTTGCAGAGGGAAGGGTTGGGGGACTAATAGAAAAAAACTTTCCAGGCGTTTCCTGAAGCTTTGGCTCAGTGAACTTCAGTCAGGCCATCACATGTGACGAGAGAATTGTAGAAACTAGAGCAACATCATCTGGTATCATTGGTGCTGGAAATATGGCTGCAGGGGCAAGTTTTGCCCCAAACTTGTTCTAATTTTTCAAGTGGGCGTATTTCTACATTTAGATAAAAGCAATAAAATTTAAACAACAGAGTCGACTATCTGAATAGTGGAATGAAGATCATATTGGAAATAGACCTTAGGGTCTCAAGCAACCCCTCAAAATTCATAAATTAAAACTTAATCGCTAATGTGGTAGTATTAAAAGGTGGGGCTTTTATAAGTAAGATTATGAATAAGATTAATGACTTCATAAAAGAACAATGAAAGAGCTGTTTGCTCCTTTTGCCATGCAAGGACAGAAGGTGCCATTTATAAGGAACAAGTCCTCACCAGACACCAAATCTGCTGCTGTCTTGATCTTGGACTTTCTAGCCTCCTAACTGTGAAAAATAAATTTCTGTTGCTTACGAATTACCCAGTGTAAGGTATATTGTTATAGCAGCCCGAATGGACTAAGACAGCCCCTCAGCAGCTTGTGCTGGGAGCCATGCCTTCATCGGCCTCTCATACTCCTATGTGTCTCACTGAGTATACCAAGAATGCGAGCTTGATGCTCTTTACCTGGGCAACAATTTCTCAAGGTTATGTTTGTAGCAAGCAACCTTGGCAGATGGTATAGAACTTCCCCCAATACAAAAATCAGGCTTTCTCACAAGCTACTCTAAAGCAGTAGCTCCCAGGCTCAGGGCTCCTCTCGGATGATGCAACCAACTGTGTGTGTGGTGTCCAGCTAGCTCCACTTACATGGCCCCATGGGACTCAGGTGACGTGAGGAAATGATGCAAACCAGCATAAAACTCATGAGTAATAAAGTTCTCTGTCTCTGACCCAGGACTCTTGCTTCTGCCAACATCCATAAAAGAGCAAGAGGTGAGCTTATTGATTTGTAAGTAGGGTAAACCCGAGAGCTTTCATGGTTTGACACCTGCTGACACTTACCTGGACTACCTCGAGCCCCAGGGCGTCCTGGTTGCCCTGGTATCCCTGGAGCGCCTATTTCACAGGAATGGCCAGGTGGACCTGGGATACCTGGAAACCCAGGACTCCCCTCTCTGCCTCTGGGACCTTTGAGACCTGGGAATCCAGGAACACCAGCTGCCCCTGAAATGATACAGTGTATCCATGACATTCATGGCACAAAACCATACAAACGGCCTACAACATATTGTTCATGCATCTCAATACTGGAAGTTAACATTTTGATCCTGAATAGTGCTCAAATGGGTGAAGTCTCTGAATGGATTTTCTTATCACAGATGTAGTGAGCACCACATGAGTGGAAAAACCACAGATTGCTAAGTGAGTTACTGGATAAGGTTATGTGGACTACAAAGAAGTTGCCTATGCAAATAAGAAACCACTTGGCTCTTCCTGATTTTAATTAACCCCTAACTTTGCAGCAGGCCAAATTTCTACAATACTTACAAACCAGTTCACACTGTATGAATTTGCATGTTATAAGAGATTTTATCACTTGCACTCTCAAATTTCTATTTATTGGAGAGACAGTGTCATAATCTTAAGAAAGAAAAATAAATCAGCCATAATTCCACACCCTAACCCAAAAGTCTACTTTATTTTCCTATGTTTTCTTTGTATTTTGGTCCATATGTTTACATTTAAAAATAGTAATCACAGCGCACATTCAGATGTTGGGTTACTTCAGATTGCAAAGTAATCTTCAAATGTTTTCCATTTTGTTGTAGTCTTTACAAATACGATGTTAATTGCTAATAGTTGAATAGTATTCTTTTGAGTGCATGCATGTGTGCGTGTGTGTGTGTGTGTGTGTGTGTGTGTGTGTGTCTGTATTTCTTATCTCTCTTTGCTGTTTCCAATTATTACCTCTGCTGTGGATAATACTACAAGAGTATTTTCATATCCGTAACCTTCTTCGGTTGAACACTTCCTTTAGATACATTTTTCACAAGTGAGATAGTGGGTTTACTAGGTCAAAATTATTTTTACTGACTCACATAATGTTGCTTTCCAACTAATCGTTTCTTTGTATGTGACTATTTTGACCTACAAACTACCATGCAAGCTCCTTGAGAGCAAAGATAGTGGCTAATTCCCCTTTTCCCCTCCATGTCCCCTGTACTAACGTACTCCAGCCGATACCTAATAAATCCTGGCTTGTCCACCATTATGAAAGAGCCAGGATAGTGTGTGCAAACATCCGGTCTGTGGTAACATCTTGATCACCATCATCCAGGGGCTCAGTTGCATTCATAATGCTGGCCCCACTGCAGATGTAAAGAATCAGAATTCCTGAGTCTAGGGTCCTAAAGACTATCATTTTAATGATAACCTCTCCCCGCGCAGGGTTATTTTTAAGTACATTAAGATCTGAAAAACTCCACTATGGATCCCGAAGAATCCTTAGTGATTTCAGAAAAGAGCATGAATTGGTGTCAGTAACCAGCCACCTTCCCATCTTGAGTTGTTGCTACCCTGCCTGCTACCCCTGCTGGAATGAAAATCCCTCTACTCTGTTACCTGTCCAAAGACAGTTTGCCCACCAGGGCTCAGCTCATGCCCAGCTCTCCCACGGAGCCTTCCTGGACCCCAGCCCACACTGCCCTGGCCTCTGAGCTGCACTGCTCTCCCTCCTACAGTCTGTCCTCTCCATCTTCAACCTGGCGACAGCCGTGGACAGGTTATACAGTCCCTGCTTTTGGCGTTTTGTGGCGCTAACACAAAAGCAGACAGACCAACAAATGCAAAGGCAACACTGGGGATTCAGATTATTTGAAATGTAACCAGGGTCCCTATATGAGGGAAAACACTTGGGTGAAATTTCTATATTCTATACACCTAAACCAAATAGTGTAAACATTCTCAGTGACCTGTTCTAAAACTAAGTGGGCTTTATGGACCAAAAGAGTCTTCATACCTTCAGCCCCTGGCCATCCTAGATCGCCTTTGGATCCTTTTGTCCCCGGCACTCCCGAAAGACCCCTCTTTCCAGCGGGTCCTGGGTGACCGAATGCAGGGTCTCCTGGGATTCCTTTCTGGCCATCCACTCCAGGTGACCCGGGAGGGCCTGGAGGCCCCCTAGGGGAGGACCCCCTTTCACCTCCAAAACCTGGATCTCCCGTGTCACCACGAAAACCTATTTAACAACAAAAAAATATTTTAAATTATCATATATACAAGTATAGAACCAGTGTAAATGACTATTACTTTGACAAAAACACATTTCCAAAAAATACAGGGGTACTTACTAAAATTAAGAGCAGCTTAATAGGTAATGTTTTTTTCTACCTTTTGTAGGAGATAAATTGTAACTTTCTGTTTCCTATAAGCCCATAAGGTTCCCCTAATTGTTTGCATTCTCTGGCAAACATTCTGGCTGGATTGATCAGTTTCAACAACACAATAGACAAAGAATAGCATACAATTCATGCTTTGAGCTAGAAGGAACCCTGGCATGTTATAAAATTATCATAATCTAAAAGTTATCACAATACAGCTAAAAGTCTAACGTATCAGGAAAAACCATTTCCCCATTAGGTAGAGATCTCTGGGCCATTTCCTTATAAAAGTCATCATTTTTAGAAATATTCAAAAGTTTGTGCTAGACACTTCCAAAGCAGGAAAAACACACTTCATTTACCAGGTGGACCCGGTATCTCTGATGTTCCTGGTTTACCACGCCGCCCTTTTTGCCCATCCGAACCCCTCGGCCCAGGAGCACCCCAGGGACCTGGAAATCCCTTTGGACCTAAATGAGAGCAACAATAAAACACTGCCTCAATAAAACACAAATTAAATAACAAAAAGAGGTTTTTTTAAAAAGTCTATTTAAGTCCTTTCAGAATATTTCTGCTTTATGGAAATAAAGATATTGCCTATCCTGGCTTACAGAATCATTTTATGGGTCATATGTTCCAAATAAGTTTTATAGAGTGTGGTTTTGTTAAGAAACCATACTGTAAAGGATTCTTCCTGATAGCCTTTGGAACTTACACCTCCATTCAGATGCTTTTTTGGTATCTTCCCAAGCTAGGTCTCAAACACAAATATGCAAGCATAGTCCATCCTTATAGGAGGACAAGGGTGGTGGTCAGTGTCTACTCTGATGAGAAAGCAACAGATTAAAGGCCAAAATCTATTTCCCTGTATCTTACTGCATTTGCTTTTAAATGAAGTATTGACAAAAAAGCACCTGCAAAAGGAATTGAGATTTTATTTTAAAACTTCTGTGATTTCCTATTAGGCATTATCTTAGCTAAAACACATAAATCATGGACTTTGAATAAGATACAACTGCCGACTTAAAGTTTGAGTATTCACTTCTCTCAAGGCTACAGCTGCTGAAAATAATCAAACTTTTTTTAAATCCATCTATGACCAGGTCCCAGTAAAAGTGAAAATGAACATTCAATTAGTCAACCAGTGACTCTTCACTATGCTGATACAGAATTATGCTTCCACACTCTTGCCATTGCCTTGTACTGTAAGGAGTGTCCATCACCGCCCTTTGATCTGGTCATGTGATTTGCTTTAGCCAATGGGATACTGATGACCATGATGCAATCAGAGTGTGAAGGGAGCCTGTGAGCTGAACCTGCACTCTGGCATCTCTGCAATCCCATGAGAAGAGCCCTGCAATGAGACACATGCTACAGCCCTGAACCTAACCCGGAGCCAGGGACCAAGCCAATGAGTGGAAGACATATTAAATAAGCTTAACCCCAACCAACCTGCAGGCTCCTCTGAAAGAAAATAAATGTTGGCTGTTGCAGCCCACTGGCAGTTTGAGGTTGTTTACACACATTATTGCCATGAAATTTAATGGTTAGAGAAGATAATAATAGTCATTCATCATTCAACCTTTAAATATTTTTTGTAGCCTTGTGGGACAAGAAAGGTCACCTTTAATAGCCATCCTAGTGTTTAATAAGTCAATTTAAGTGAACTCTGAAGAAATAAAAAAATAATTAGGCAAAAATCCCTTATATCGATTTTGAGTTTAATTCATCTAAAAACAAGTGATTGATTCAAATGAAGCTGTTGAATGGAAGTGCAGGCATTTTTTGGAAAGTTTCTAGCCATAAGTTGGTTATCTGGCAAGGTACAATAGAATAAAACTTACGATAATTAAGTAAATGATCATTTTTCACTCTTGGGGCACAGGAAAAGAAGAAAGACTATTTTAAAGCTTTCAAGGAGCCGGCTGAGCATGGTGGCTCACACCTGTAATCCTAGCACCCTAGGAGGCTGAGGCAAGGATCACTTGAGGTCAGGAGTTTCAGACCAGCCTGAGCAAGAGCAAGATCCCGTCTCTACTAAAAATAAACAAAAAAAAAATTAGCGCGTGACGTGGCGCACACCTGTAGTCCCCACTACTCGGCAGCCGAGGCAGGAGGATTGCTTTAGCCCTGAAGTTTGAGGTTGCAGTGAGCTGGGATAATGCCACTGCACTCTAGCTGGGGTGACAGAGAAAGACTCTGTCTCAAACAAAACAAAACAAAAAAACTTTCAACGAACAAACATTTTAATTGATAGTGATCAAATCAAGGTAAATTTTGTTGCACAAAGATTGTAAAAGCCTATCAGGAGTGTACTCAAACCAGTAGACTAGAGGTCCAACTGTGAATTGCTACAAAGTTGGTTTTCCCCTAATCCCATAGTCCCTCAAAACCATATAGTAACTTTGAAAATGCCCTAACTATTAATAGTTGTCTGAGGATTTGCTATTGGTATATCTGTCTTGCCAGTTCTTTTATCCTGGGAAGTATATAAACGACAGTAACTTTTCATTGATAATACCTGGAGGTCCATCAAAACCTGGCGGGCCTGGCCTCCCAGGATAGGTTACATTACAAGAAATTATGTCACCTGCAATGGAAAAAAAAAAGTGGCATTCACATAACTTATAGCCCAATGCAATGTGAGTCTCAATAACAACTCACTCAAGATATTTTTCCATATAGTATATACAGAATTCAAAGGAAAAAAAGATTCCCAAGTATCATTAGATCACTTAAATTGCTTTTATGCTGAATTTCTAGATTTGTCCTGAAATCTTCCTTTCAACTGTCAGAGGAGTTATAAACATAATGAAGAAAAATACTGATTCCAAAAAGTATCAGTTTCAATAACCTAGAAAAAAATAATGTATCTGTAAGCCCCTAGAGATCTATTACATGCATATCCAACATAACAGAATCAGAAGCTTTGATAAATCGTAAAATAGCAACCAGTGTCCAATGCTGAGTTCAGAAGATTTGGCTCGTGGTTTGGACGTGGGGGAATTGTGCAAATGAAGAGCCTGGGCCAGATATTAATAGCAGCTACCATTTCTTGAGGGCCTGCCCTGGGTCAGGTGCTTCAAATATACTGTCTCTTATTGTTCTAATGACTCAGTAATACATTTTCATCCCCCATGAGGAAAATAAGACTCCAAAGTTTGTGCCTCTGAGTTCTCATCCCCTTTTAAAATTGAATGTTCCTCTTTTGAAAACAGAAATAATATCTCATAATGTATATAACTTTATATGCTCTGGAATCAAAGACATATCAGATGAATAAAAATGGATATTAGATTTTGCTTGGTTCTAAACCATGAACTTACACCTAATCAAATACCAAGTTATTTGCTTTTCTGTGTTGTCAAAATAAGAACCAAAGATATTATTTTATTCTAAAACTTCACAATCAATAATGTAGCCCAAGGTATATATACATATCATAAAAAACTTAAACCTTTTTTGTCATTTTCTTAAAAGTTTTCAGCTATAATCCTGAAAGTCATTTATTGTTTGAGATTCATATCTGTCAAATATATTTAAAATACCTTCTTTTTTTCCTCCCTAGAATGGTTACAAGTGGTTTTTCATGGACGATGACATTTTAAATGGAATACTAGGGGTTTTTTTTTATTAAAATACACTTTACTATCTCCAAAGATTACGAAAAATCGATATGTGCTTTGAATACATGTATATTATATATACATATATTTAATTTAAATACAGTAAGATTGTATTTAAATTAAATACATGTATATTATATATACATATATTTAATTTAAATACAGTAAGATTGTATAAGTTCATGCTGAGAAATGAATGAGATTTTGGTATGCCAAACAAATAAAGCAACAAAGATATCTTAGAAGGACTGTTGAAAAATATTGATTGTGCTGTAATGCTTTTGTTTTACAAGCTGGGAGATCTGAACGGCACCTAGGTGGAATTTTATTTAGCTGCTATACCACACCTATAACAACTCTGCCCAGAAGAGACTCACTTTAGCTTCCATGATTTCACTTGACATTCTGCTACAAAAACATGCAAAATTACCTTTCTGACCCTTCAAGCCATCAGGTCCCCTCACACCTGGGCGGCCTGGAGCTCCTGGTTGACCTCTTTCTCCTGGTGGCCCAGGAAATCCCAGTCCTGGGGGCCCCACACGTCCTGCTTTGCCCGGGAGGCCTGGTGGTCCAGGAGGTCCTTTACTGCCTGCAGCTGCTTCTTCACGATCCCCCTGGGAATGTTTATGTCATGAGTCAATTATCAATCTTTGAAAGTCCAAGAATTCAAACAGCTTTATAGGTTACAGAAATATGCAAAAAGTCCATAATTCCAGGAGATAGTTACTCAGTAGCAAAAGAAATTTAAAATAATTTACTTAGATATCTCTTAATATTTTATATACATATTTTACAACTTTATAAACATATATATGATATGGGTATATGTGTTAGGCCTCAAACACAGAAAGTGATGTGTGTGTTATACCTTAAATACAGAATAAGAAATTTTATGTAGAACTACTCTCTAGTATAAAATATAATGAAATATAGAAATAAATAAATCTAGGGAGGTGGTGGGCTTACAAATTGAGTAAGTTCTTACATATATGGAATTGTTTTCCTGCATTCTTATAGAAGGTACAGGGATAGACTGTTACCACCCTCCACATCTGTGGGTAAAGGGCTAACAAACCCTTTCCCCTCCTGCATGAGAATTTGACCTTAACTGTCTAGCTCATTCCTCTAGAAACCTGATAAAAATTAGATCATCAACTACATTGCTAGGCAACATTGCTTATGGTAAAATTGATCCCTGGTTGCAAAATTTGCATTTGGTGTGGAAGGACTGTGAAGACCCGTGGGAAGCCCTTGTGGGAGCTCTCCTGGGTGGTGGCTCCTGTTACTGGCAGGTCCCGTGGGGGTTTCCCAAAGGCTGTGCTGTGGAGATAACAGCTCCTGTTGGGAATGAGCCTTTCAAGTCAGGGCTGGTCCCACATCTGCTATCCGTGGGTCTAATCTTCTTGGACCCCAGCTGAATGAACAGCTGCAAGGACGTGCACATGGGAGGAACTACCCGATACTGCCCTGCTGGCAAGTGGAGGGGCCCGTCTGCTGTCCTTCTGAGTGGCTTGGTCCCAAATGTGGTCTATGACAGTCTTATGAATCTGGACTATTTCAATGAATCTAGGAAGACCCCCCAGTGGGTGCTGTAGAAATTCCCCCATTTGATCTATAGCACGCTTCGGTTTTTCACAATTAGATGAGTACATTAGGATAATTATCACTCAGTGACATTGGTTTCTACATAGTGAGAGAATTAATTAAGCAAAGATTGCCAAGCCTAAAACAGAGACCATTCGCATACTTAATACCAGCAGAAAGAACAGAAAGCTATAAACACCATCTAACCCAATTTCCAAACCTCTCTCTTTTATTCACTTGAATTCTGTCTGAAGGGGTTTGTATAAAATCGGGACATGGTCCTTCCCGATCACAACACTCTGAATGACTTCCCATTGCCTGTGGCAGGCAGCACGGGTGGTGGAAACAGCATGCACTTTGGAATAAGACAGGTTCCCATTTAGCCTTCTTGATAGACGGGTAATCTTGAGTAACATACCCTAAACCTTCATTTCCTTACTGTAAAATTGGAAAGATAAGAAGACTACTGTTATCAGCAAAACACCTAGCCCAGTTTCTGTGACATTGTAAACATTCAAAAATATCTCGAAAGCCCAAGATATTTTAAGTTCCTAAGCATTGAATCACGTCAACTCTTTTCTTATGACCTTCATTTCCTACACATGGCATCCACCCAAAACATGTTTGAAATATGCAGAAATATCATTTATTGGTAGGATTTTCCATCAGCTAATATGCTGGTTTGGTGGATTTGCACTAGTTCATCCTGTCTTGCTACTTCTCCTCATGTGCCCCAGGAAACAGAACTGAAGCTAATTATCAGGACCTAATCAGGAGCTAATTATCTATCCTTACCCTACAGAGTCAACCAAATAGACCTAAAATCAGTGGGGGATTTGTAAGATACAAGGGTCCCAGAAGAAATTAAACACCAGAGAGTGATACAAAGGTCGAGGACAGAAAGTCTTGCTGTGACTCAGCTGCCACTGAGGATGTTAGAGCACCTAATTATGCCATACCTTTTCTAACACTTACCTTCTGGTGGCAGGGGGCCAAAGGTGATTCTAATTTACAGCATGTTGGCATTCACTGAGTTGCAGCTTGGTGAATGAAGAAGGCGAAAAGAGATGCTTGTGTGATAATATAAGAAAGTGAAATTCTATCACAGGAGAAGAATTATACATACCGGGGGCCCTGGGTCCCCCTTTTCTCCAGCATGTCCATCCCGACCATGTTGACCCGGCTGCCCTGGAAATCCTGGGGGCCCATCAGGACCTCTTTCTCCTTTGTGCCCTGGGAATAGAGACCAAAAGATATTCAAGCTATTATCAACGGGGGGTGAAGTAGAAGGATACAGAGGAAAAAAGACAAAGACAACGGCCTTGACTCTGGGTTGGTAGAGTTTCCTCTAGGTATCTCAGTTGCCCAAAGTCACACAAACCATGCTAAAGCCAGAGGGGAGAATGACAATTGCCAAACCCATTGAGCCTCTTTATTGGGGAAATGTTCCGTTACCCATTCCAACAAGAAGTAGTGTGTGGAGGCGCCAATCACAGACTTCCTCCGCATGTGTGATGCCAAACACGGTCCTCTAACACCTGACCATGGTCAATGGCAGAATGGTCCGTGGTTGGGCAATACCCTAAACTCATCAATCCTTTCCGAAATTGGTTTTCTAACTAGAGCTGACAAAATAGAGCTCTCTTCACATCTGGTTGTAAGAACTTGGAGCCACCTGGGGACATGTACCCCGTGGCCCAGAGAAAGCCAGTCTGTTGGGAGAAGAGGCAATCAAACGGTGCAGTGGAAGATGAAAGATGCAGGGAGAGCCTCCCAGCACCACCGGAGGCCTGGACCTGGTGGTCCCAATGCAAATCCTACCTCCAACCTTTCACTTTTTTTTTAGGTAAGTCAATAAATTACTATTTTTTTTGTTTTGTTTTTCAAAAAAACCTACTTCAAGCTGGGTTTCTATCACTTACAACTAAAATATTCTTGACTAATACTAGATATTGTAATGCAGTGAATAAACACCAGGCAACCCAAAGGAAGTCTCGCTTCAAATCCAAGTTTGCTTCAATGAAGATTTAAATATGTGAGTAGAAGAATATTTCAAATAAGAAACAAGGGGTTTTCCTCAACAGTCATATGACTCAATGTAGGGCAGAGAGTATTTTTTAAGCAATCTCAACAATCCTAAATTATAAAAAATTGATCTGTGGCCACAGGGGAAATTAATGCAAGAGGATGGTCCATATATCACTCATCAACTGCAGGGGGCTAAGTGATTGGTTATGCTGACCTTTAACTCTTGGTACAACTGTGTCACCCTTTGCTCCTTTGTTGCCAGGTAATCCTGAGGCACCAGGTTTTCCCTTGTTGAAAATAAGAGCAAAAAAGTAGATTAATTGTGAGGGGTCAAAAGTTATTCACATTTGTGCATATCTAATCTCTCTGTTCTTCCCTCCTAAATCTCTCATTAAAGATGCTGGCTTAGTGTTCTTGGTCTTTTCCCCTTCCCTGCCTTTTAAGGTGGTCCTACCTTACAAAATCACATAAAAGCTGGTGAAATTGGAATAAGGGCTGTGCCTGAGTTAATAGAAATGTACCAATGTCAGTTTCCTGGTTTCGACAATGTCCCACGGTCGCGTAAGTTATCACTGGTGCAACCTGGGTGGGTAGAAGGGAACTCCGAATTACTGTGCAACCTCTTGTAAGTCTTCAACTATCTCAAATAAAAATTCGTAATTAAAATTTTTTTTTCTTTTATCTTGGGTTTTGTAATGTAGAATTAAGAAAAAAGAGGAGGGTGGGTTAACCACAAGAGCAGCCACTAGAGCTGAAGACAGAGGTTTAGGGCTAAGTTTTTGATGCAAAAGGCATGGAGGGTTGGGCATGGTGGCTCACGTTTGTAATCCCGGCACTTTAGGAGGCCAAGATAGGAGGATTGCTTGAGGCCAGGAGTTTAAAACCAACCTGGGCAACATAGCGAGACCTCATCCCTACCAAAAAAATAAATAAAATTAGCTGGGCAGGGTGGTGCACACCTGTAGTCCCAGCTACTTGGGGAGCTGAGGCAGGAGGATGGCTTGAGCCCTGAAGTTTGAGGTTGCTGTGAGCTGTGATGGTGCCACTGTACTCCAGCCCAGATGAGAGAGTGAAACCCTGTCTCAAAAAATAACAATAAAAATAAAAATAGAAAAGCATGGAAATAATGTGATGTTAAGGAAAGTTGATGAGCAAGAGAATGGGACATAAGGGCCTTTGCTGTAGTCAAGGTATTTCCTTTGTATAGCAAGTAAACGACGAATTTTGGCTAATGGACTTATCATCTTTTGGCCTCAACATTGCTCTGAGACTGGACTATTTGATTCATGCTTTCTCAGTGTTATATATTATTGAATATCAAACAAAACATAAAAACCTGTCAGGACATCAGGGTGGCCAACCATCACATCAAATACCATGACAGAAACACCGTGCATATCCTGAGGTTACTTACCTGGTGGCATCAATAATTGAAAACACAGACAAGAAACTGGAAGGAGGTAAAAATGACTCAGCAGACCATTTGTTTTGCTCACACAGACGCCGTTTCCTTGTCTCACTTTTCCTACAACCTAACAACGTGTCCAAACCAGCTGAACTGTCTTTGTCACTGGTCTCTAATCGACAAGCCGTGAGCTATGAAGGGGAGGAGAGGACCAGTAGGGATAAGCGCAATGGCAGCATTGGGCAGGAACAGTGAATCCAAAAATGTACACAATAGGAATAAAAACTCAAATGCTACAAAAGGGTTGGGAGCCATTCAGTGTAAAGAAAACATAGCTCCACACACAGCTCGGCACTCCCAAGAACATCACTCTGGTACAGCACCTGTTTGTGACAATGTGAGACATCAAGAAGAAGGGTGGAACAAATTTCTTAGTAGAAATCAGTAAATTAGACAGAAGAACTTTGGAAATTATAAAGTGCTTATACAGGTTGAGTGTTGTTTTAATTCTGATTTTTACTGTATATGATAAGCCGTAAGTGACAATGGGACCCAGCCAAGGAGGATGGCACTCAGTATCCCGTCTAAGAGATGGATGAAGAAAATGTCCTTCCGATGGGTAAACCATCAGGACAGAAACGGTTCACATAGCATTTGAACCAACTTCTCTCCAGAAGGAGAAGACAGTCTCGTGCTTAATGAACAGGACCTTGATACCCCAGAAGGATGAACCCACCCTAGGAGTCTGAGTGGTTTCTTACGCAGCACACTGCAGGCTTGGAATGTTCTCTGAATTGCTCCAGTGCTCTGTAGATGTGGGATTTAAAGTTCTAGAATAAGATCACAGGCTTATTTCAGCCGGTATGAAAAAAAATTACCAATGTTGTTGCTGTGTTTCATTAGAGAAACATTTACTGAAAACATCATTGAACTGTTTTTGGAAACTGCACCGGACTTGGCATAACCCTGAGTACTAAGGACACAGCCGTTGACAAGACCGTCTTGCCTTTGAAGCACTTGGGCTCTGGTGAAATAAATGTTTAACCTAAGAGATTCCTGGGGCAGAAGATCTCAGCAGCTTTGGGATTGAGAGCTACTCTTCACAATCCTAAAACCTGAGATCAACAAACACTTGTGCTGATATAACCACAAAAGCCCAGCAGCAGCAACAATTCCTCTCTGCCAGCAATGTCCCAGTTGTTTTACGCATGGTCTAGCTCAGGGTCTTCAACCGCGGATGCCCACAAGGGCCGCACCTCTCCTGACCAAGGGAAGCCAGTGGGTGGGCACAGTTGGGGCTGGATCCCCCAGGACTTCCCTGACACACACTTCCAGTTTCTCAAAGGAAGCCACAGATCTCATATTAATAATACAAGAAGACCCTGAGGATGCGACAAATGCTCTAGCGGGTCAGATATAGCCCATGACAGTTTGTGACCTTTGGTTCACTCTGCAGATGCCTGGACGTCTTGTTCACTAGCGTGTACCTTATAGCCTGCAAAACACATAACTGGACTGAATTCTTACTGACGAACCTGTAAGATGGTGTTGGTATATTTATTTTATAAATGACGGGACTGAGGCTCAGAAAGATTGCAGAGCTCGCAAATGTCAGAGATGGGATTTGAAGATGGGTCCACTTACTCCTAGGCCCTAAGTGCCTTGCATGACAGCACCTTGGTGGGAAACCCCATCCTAAAGGCTCTCTCAGGCTAAGGCAATGAATACAAAGACTTGGTTTAACTGCAGAAAAAAATTGCAAAGAACTTAAGCCTATTTTCTGTTTTTTACTTTCCTACCAATCTGTGGCTGCCAGGGCCAGGAACCAGCAGATAGGAGAAGAGATGTAGGGAGAAGGGAGAGTACCCGAGAGTGACAGCACCCAATAGTCTGTGGTTCCTTTGTGTTCTCTCTTCTGTCCTGTCATTTCCTTTCCTCTCCTCTCCTCTCCTCTCCTTTATTTTTTTTTTGAGACAGAGTCTCACTGTGTTGTCTGGGGTAGAGTGCCGTGGCATCATCCTAGCTCATAGCAACCTCAAACTCCTGGGCTCAAGCGATCCTTCTGCCTCAGTCTCCCGAGTAGCTGGGACTACAGACATGCACCACCATGCCCGGCTAATTTTTTCTATATATTTTTAGTTGTCCGATTAATTTGTTTCTATTTTTAGTAGAGACGGGGTCTCGCTCTTGCTCAGGCTGGTCTCGAACTCCTGAGCTCAAACAATCTGCCTGCCTCGGCCTCCCAGAGAGCTAGGATTACAGGTGTGAGCCACCGCGCCCGGCCTCTCCTCTCCTTTAATAGGGCCCCATCGTGTGATCTGAGTCCCCAACAGTGACCACAATGTTATGAATTTAATGCAGAGAACTTCTCTGCATAGGGGGGAATCATATAGAGAACAAAGACATCAGACATACGGCCAGTCCACAGTGGTAAGCCCTAGAGCAACTGAACTAAGTAAACTTTATCCATGATAACTCTAGATAAACAAGCAATCCACACTCTAAGATGTTAGCCCTAAGAGGCAACTCAATAGGAAGCCACAAACATATTTTAGAGCCATTAAAATCTTCATTAAGAAGACTCAGTAGCAACATACACAAAATGCTATGGTAAAGTGTTGAATTTAAAAAGCAAACTATAAATTCAAACTACTTAATAACTGCAACCATGTTCATTCAACATGCATGCATTAAAGACCTAGCTTTCTGTTGGGTAGACTTGGCCAGTGTGCTTTGTACAAGTGACAAGTATGGTCCTGGGAGACCATAATCGTCACCTTCACTTAAGGCCCTCAGATCAGAAATTTATTTTCATGAGATTTTCTGGAAAAAAATAGTACAGAGTACTTTTGGGCCTGATGGCTAGGTCCCAAGCCATGCCAGGATTAAGCCTCTTTAACAAGGAGGGGACGGAGGGCCTGTGTCCAGCCTCCAGAGGGGTTCCGCAGTGGACAGTGACTTCATTCTAAAGGATCAGACAGCCAAAAGGCTGTGCCTCAGCCTAGGTCATTTGTAACTTTCAGCAAATGAGAACCATTTATAGATGGAGCTCATCCGCTCTCAGGCACTAAACAGCACGTAAACTCAGACAGAGCCAACAGTTGTATCTCCAGCCCGGACCTCTCATCTGAATCCTGGAGGTGGACACCACCCCACTGCCTCCTTGACATCTCGACCTCCTTGTCTAACAGGCGCCTCGAACTTGAGTGTCCCAAGCGATGCTGTCCCTTCCCTCACCTGCACCCTGTCCCTTCAACTGCGTTCCTCACCTCGGTACATGGCAACTGCCTCTTCCAACGGCTCAGTCTCAAAACCTGGGATCTGTCCTTTACTTCTCTTTTTCTTGTCTCCTATGTACGATCTAACAGCCAACCTGTCAGTTCTGTCTGGAAACTATATCCAGAATCCGACCGCCTCTCACCACACCCGGCACCACCACATCCATCTGTCTGCCGTCATATCCCAGCTAATCTCCCTTGTCCCCAGGGTCTGGTCTCCGCAGAGCAGCCAGAGTGAACGATCCATTTAAAACTATTATGTCTCTCCTTAAAACTCTTCCCTGGATGTTCCATGTCATCTAGAGCAAAAGCTCAAATCTGACCCACCTGCAAAGCCCCACGCTCCGTGGCCCCTCCTGACCTGCAGCCAGTTCCTTGACTCCATTTCAGGCTCTGCCCGTCACTCTCTCTGCTCAAGCCACACTAGGTGGGTTGGCCTTCATCACCATCTGCCACACTGGATATTTACTTGTTGCTCTGTAACACGGTCCCTGTCCCCTCTGAAGCCCCAGGAGGGCAGACACTGTGCTCTGGTCCCTGCTGTATCCCCCGTACCTAGATTCTAGGTCCTAGAACAATGCCTGGAACATAGTAGGTGCTCAATAAATATTAATTAGTTAAATAAATAAATGATGGCTGGATGAATAGAGGGTTTTTAGCCATTAATATGATGTTTATGGGCTCAAAACATAAACCATTGATCACAGTATAAATTAGAGGCACATTGATCTTTATCTGAATGTGTCTTTAACTGGAAAATCTATGACTGTTAAGAGTTACTCACTGATAGCCCTGGAGAGCCTTCAGCACCAGGAGGGCCTGGGTCACCTTTTTCTCCAAGCCTGCCAGGGAGCCCCAAGTCCCCTTTACTCCCTGGCCTCCCGGGAAGTCCTGGAGGGCCAGGGTGGCCCATGGGACCAGGCTTGCAGGCACAGGGTCCTTCATTTCCTAGACAGAGAATAAAAGGTAGATTTCTCATATTTCCCAAATAAAATCCCCAATAAGGGCTTTATTATACAGAACCAATAGCACAAATAAAGAGCAAAAGGAGTCTGATGTGGACAGTCCTTGAGCAGACGGATGCCAACATGTGATGTGGGGGGCACCGCAGCTGTGGGTCACATGGGGTGGGTGTGTCATTTCTAAACACATGGAGGGATTCGTTCCCTAATAATTCATCCTGACAAATTCTAGGGGGAAAAGCTGATATCCAGTTCTACTGAAGAAACTTTATGAATAAGAAAATTTTTACTTTTAAAAGTTTAAATATCTCTTGTTTGGTTCCTACTGAGGAAACTAAAAAAACTAATTGGTTAGAGCATAAACCTTGAACAATTAAGGAAACAAAATAATATGTGAAGAAGGATTGTTGATCACATTGAATATTACAATTGATAATTCACAACACATTTTCTAATCGTCAGGGCTGTTCGTTGTAAAGAGGTAGTCAGACTCCTCATCTGTGTGTACGCTCTCACACCCTCCCCGACTCAGTTGCACAGAAAGTCTTCAAACAATGTAGAGGGGAGAAGCAGACTGATAGGCATTTGATAAGTCTTGGAAATATGGGTCCCACAGACAGAAACTGAAATAAAATATCAATCCTGTCCTATCTCTGACACGCTCAAGGAATCAAGAGGACCTCGTGAGCAAAGTCACCACTTTGAGGTAAGTTTCATGGCAGCTAAGTGTTTCCTTTATAGTCTAAGACACAAGGATTTGACTTTTCAGTGACTTTTAATCACATCATAACACACAATGAAATGAGTACTCATAGGCAGTGACTAAGGTGAGTAACAAATGTGAATAAAATGCCACATTTTACATCTCAGAAATACCCCAAAACCCTACCAGTGTGGTTGTCTTCTGGAAATTCCACCTTGGATGCATACTTGCCTTTTTCTCCTTTGGAGCCTCTTCGTCCTGGAGGACCCACTTTGCCTTTCATTCCTTGGGGTCCCGGTTGCCCAGCACTGCAGTATATCACTGTACAGTGGGGACAGGAAGGGAGGAGAGAATCCCATAACTTTTGTGACTGTCTTCTATAGAACAAGCGTCTCTTGCACTCACATAATTGCTAGCTATGTAAGTTCAGTGTAAACGCTGAATAGTTATGTAACCAAAATTATGGCAATAATTATGTTGTAGGTTGTGGGAGTGGAAAATGTGCTCAACTCATCTTCTGTAATGGGGAGTCAAAAGATAGTGCTCAAACTGAAAAATAAGAAACAGCAATGCAAGTACATCGAATGGCAGTACAGAGGCAAATAACAAAAGAGCCAACAAAATGAGTTGAAATAATGGCCCCTGGAAAGGAAAGATTAGGAGAAGGGTTTGCCTGGGATTTCAGTTCTCATAACAGGCCTCATAGAACAGTTTGACTTGTAAACCAAGTCCATATATAACTCTGATAAAAATTAAAACTACATTTAAAAAATTAAAAATCGCATTAATTTATACAATTCTGTCATTTACACTTAAACTCCCAACCAAATAATCGCACATACTTTCATTAATGTGATAGTCCAACCTCTATTTATTGTAAGAGTTTAATATTATTAACTCCTCATGAAATACTACATAATTTTTTAAGTATTTAGAAAGTTATGCTTTCTGAATGACACTACAAATATCAAGCATACATGCTTGTGAACGTGAACGAGAAGCTCTTTACCATCTGATCCTGGGAGTCCCTCCAGCCCTGGTGCCCCCGGCGGGCCAGGTGGTCCTGGCTCTCCTGGCTTTCCTGGAGCATAATCAGGTCTCCCAGGAATCCCAGCTGCCCCTGGAATCCCTGGATGACCAGGAATCCCTTGTGGCCCAGGGGGTCCTATCATGCCTACAAGAGAAATCAAGAATAAAAACCACATGTACTCTCAAAATAAACATTTCTGTAGAAAAAGTCGAAATCAGTACATTCTTCCTTTGGGTCATGGAATTTTTTTAAAGGAAAAATGAATGGAGCTGGAGTATGTTATAAGTGAAATAAGCCAGACACAGAAAGAGAAATACTTCATGATCTCACTTATATGTGGAATCCAAAATAGTCAAACTCACAGAAGCAGAGGGTAGAATTGTGGTTGTTGGGGCTGGAGGACGAGGGCAATGGGGTGATACTGGTCAAAGGGTACAAAGTCTCAGTTACACAAGATGAACAAGTTCCAGAGATCTAATGTACAGCATGAGGACGATAGTTAATAATGTTGTGTTGTATATTTGAAATTCGCCAAGAGGATAGATCAAAAATTAAATCTTCTCACCACGCACACACATACACACACAAATGATAATTATGTAGATGACAGACATGTTAGTTAGCTGGAATATGGTGATCATTTCACAATGTAACTTAGACTATCAAGTTGGTATACCTCAAAAATATACAATTTTAATATGTCAATGATACCTTAATAAAGTTACTGTTTTTAAAAAATCTGCTCTAGATGATAGTGCTCAGAAGAAGTAGAAAGAAGTATGAAAGGCTTTCTTTTCCACAAAGCATATTACTAGCTAGAAAGCAGAAGTTGTATCGCAATAATCTGAATAATCTGAAGTTATATCATAATAATCTAAATAAAAGAAAAAATGTAGCTCAAAAATAACTGAATATCCCAGCCATTAAAGTACCTCACCTCTTTTGAAACAAGCACACATGTGAAAACAAACATGTTTGGGGAATCAGGTTTTCTTACCTTTTCCCCATTCTTTAGGGTTATTGGCAAAGAAATTTTTTTCATTTAATTAAAATTATTATTTTTTTAATCTTTCTACCTTCACCTTGATAAAAATAAACCGAATAAACATATTAGCACATTTAGTGGATAAAAATATAAACTAACATAAATCATCTATACAGGATACAAGACGATTTCGTAGCAACTCGGGTTAGTGGGGAAGGATAGAGGTGCCAGGTTTGAACCTGGCCTCTCCCTCCATAGCCAGGGCACCTTAAGTAGTTTATTTAACTTATTGAATCCTCTGTATATACCCCAGAGGCCTACTGTGAGAATTAAATAAAATAATACAAGTAAGGAGCTTCGTGTAATATCCAGCAACAGCACATGCTCAGTGGATGTTCAGATATTCAGTGTGTTCAGGTGAGGTCAAAATGAGTAATGCAACAGCTGGTAAATCCTGCTTCCCCTGACATCCTACTCCCCTTGCTGGTGTCTTTGGCTTAAAGACAGCTGGAAGCCTTCCTATGAGAGCGGCCACTTCTCAAAGCTGCTTCCTCCTAAGCGTACCTGGTTCCAGATTCTGTCTGCGGAAGAGTGCATTTTTCAAAGACGGCTGCCACGGTAGCTCTTGTCCTCATGCTCTGGTAGAACCTTGACATTTCCCTATCAAGAGGTGATGTGTTCCCTCCCTTTGAATATGGCCGTTAGAAATGAGACACTTGCGACTGGAGTCCTCGCCTACCATATGAGTAATCTCACTACTCTGATGCCACCGTGTTGTAAGGCAGCCTAAATTAAGTACAGAGCCCTCGCAGGGAGGCTCTAAGACTCTGTGAGAACTCTTAGAGATGCCCAGCCAGGCTCCTCTTTCAGTTCCAGCCCCTGTGTGACTACAACCCTAATAAAATCCCTGCACCACAGCTGCTCAGCCTATTCCCTCCTGAACTCTTGAACTGCAGAAAAAGTGAGGGGCAACATACTGATTGCTGTTGTTTCAAACTACTAGGTTTAGGAAATTTGTTTGGCAAGAGATAACTGAAAGCCTATTAGTAATCAGTAATGTATCATGCTCATTAAATTAATGGCCGTCATTATTGTGTCCATATGTGCTGGGGCTTCACATATATTTACAAACATTATCTGTACTCCTCAACCTTGCAAAGTTTATACCTTATCTATAAATAAGGCACAGAAAGTTTAGGCCAAATACCGGTAATAATAATGATAATAGCTAACACACTGAGCTTTTATTAAATGCAGGCTGTAGTCTGAGGACTGTACACATACAACTTTTTTCAACCCTAACAAGACTTCATTTTATAGATGAGAAAACTGAGGCACAGAGAGGTTTAATAAATGCCCAATATCACATAGCCTGTAAGTAGTAGAAACTGGAATGTTTCTACTTCATAATGTAAACTCCTAAGTATTATATTTCACCATCCTACATTATACTATGTGGCCTCCACTACGTGACAAGGTAAGACTGAATTACAAGAGTCTGACTCTGAACCCCTGATTATCCCACGGTAAACAGTATAGATAATTTACCAAATAAAATATGCATAATAAGGATTATATACACTAGTACACTTAGAACAAAATGAAAACATGCCCCTGTGGATTTGGCTGTCATCTCGTCTTCATGCCATTCCTAAGACCTGACTTGGATTTTCTACAGTCGGTCATAGGATGGACTCAGGTGCTGCCTTGTCCCACTGCAAGGGGAATGCTTTACTATTTTCCAACAAGGAGAATGTGTTACAATGGGTCACACATTGCAGTACTCACCACCAATAGTAGAGCATGAAATCAATAGAGTAAGTTGTGGCCAGCATTTAAATTTTTTTTTATTCCAAAAGAAATCAATGGAATAGAAAATAAGTGCATCATATACCAAAAAAGCATTATTTTGTGGAACTAGTATCTCCATCAACTGTATTTGTGGATGCATATATATGTTTGTGTAATATAAATGTAATACAAAATAAAATGCCTTTCTTACTATAGGTCATTGTCAAGATTTAAAAGCCATTGGGTTAATTCACTTTTAAAACACTTGTGGAACTAAAAAGTAAAAAAAAGAAAGCTTGTGGAACCAAGAGGCTTTCTGGGTTTGAATCTACTAGAGAAACTTGTTACTTACTTTCACTTGGTTTTGATTTTAATCTGCTGGAGGTACTCTTTTATTATAAATAAGCTCAAAAGGAAAAATCTAAGACCGGAACCCAGTGCTTTCTGACCAACAGAATACTCCATATGATTTCTATAATACTGGGTCAGTGAAGCCAAGGTTATACTGTCTCAAGATTAAATTAATTAGACAAAGCTTTACTACCTTTGTGGTCATCAGATTCTGAAGTGGAAATTAGATTCCTGGAAGATTACACAAGAATTTTGTAGTTAATAGTTGAATATCTCAGGAAACTTCTCACCCTTTCTCAATAAATATGACAAGAGACACAGGCTGGATAAAATTACATTTATTCCAGACTTTTCTCCTCATAGGTTTAATCAGTTCTCCTGGGGTCACCGATGGCAAATATCCTCAAGTTTCCACTCCTAACCTCACTAGGAATACTGCCAAGCAAGCACTCGAGGAGTGCCAAGTCCTTATGCCAATGGGCTCTTTCCCAGTCTTTTTATCACATCTCGCCATGACCTATAGTTTTCTTCCTTTTTTTTTATTTTGGGGGGAGGGGAGGAGTCTTTTTTTTTTTTTTTTGTAAGTCAGGCTGAATCAAAGTTTTTTTTTTAAATCATACTTTTTATTTCCACCACTTTATGTAGGAGATTTGAGTTCAAGCCTAAAGATGAGAGGATGAGGGAGATGGAATAAATTTTACAAGTAGATTATCAACAGGGAGAGCCCTCCAGGAGGGGGAAAAACATGGGGAAACACTCTAATCCTAGCAGCGGTTTCCAAATCTTATCTGCATGTGATAATTTTGTGGGAGGCCTGTAATACATACATATTTCTAACAACACCCCTGTAATATTGACTGAATATTTCTGAGGTGCGGCTGAGAAATCTGCATTCCTTCCAAATAAGTGATTGATTGGTTTGAGTTCAATGGTTTGTAACCCTGGCTATACATTAGAAATACAGTACCATGTTGTAGTTGGGAAAGGAGAGAAGAGGAGAGGAGAGGTGAGGAGAGGAGGGGAGAGGAGAAGAGAAGAGAAGAGGAGAGAGGAGAAGAGGGGAGAAGAGAGGAGAGGAGAGGAGAGGTGAGGAGAGGAGAAAAAATAAAAGAAAAAGAGAGAGAGAGGAAGGAAGGAAGGAAGGAAAGAAAGAAGAAGGAAAAGAAAGAAAGATTTTAAATACAGGAGCGCTTTTACAATAGCAGATGCCTGGGCCCATTGGCCAGAGAGTCCAGCATTCTTGGTCTGGGGTGAGCACAGGCATCAGTATTTTTTTAAAACACTCCTAAGGTGATTTCAGTATCAGCTGTAGTTGAGAACAGCCGGATGATGATGCAGGAAATCTAGCACGTAAAAGCCATCGCATCCCTACCTGCACAGGCTTCCCCTGGTCTGCCCGAGGGACCTGGGGGGCCGGGTGGTCCAACAGCCCCCGTTTCTCCATAGGGGCCAGGGAAACCTGGGTCCCCTGGGGGGCCTGCCAAAGATAATGACACATGTGAATAAACAAACGTATACACACATTTTAAAATTCAGACACAATTACTTTTTGTGAGGCTTGGTAAAGTGTAATCAGGAGACTCTTTGGCGGTTTCACACCACATTTAAAATGGAGTTTCTTAGATTTGAACCCCTTCGGCTGCCTCTCCTCTGCAGACACGTGAACTTTGAGTGGAGCTCTTTGTCATTGACTTAGGCCACTCTTTGCTTGGTGGTAGCATCTTGGTAGGTGTTAGTCAAGTAGTTTTATGTATTTTATAACAATTAAAAAAACTACTTTCTGAAAGGTGACATAAAAAGCCCAGCATATAGTTCATGTACCGAAAGAAAATTTGATGTCTTGTGCTGATGGAGATGAACTAAGATCAGTCTCTATCTGCATGTGTCTAATTGTACACTTACACTAAAGTTCATGAATTTAGCCTGCCTGGTGTGCGAGCTATGGAAACACTGGGCCACACTCTTCTGTCTGGGCCACTCGAATCTCATTTCCGCATAATTTATGGAAGAACGGAACGTAACACAAACCTTTGCGTGGAAGAGGCGGAGTTACCAAAACACCGGGTGGTCCTGGGTGCCCGCGGTCTCCAGGGTCCCCCTGAAATCAGTCATTCATTCACTTTTTGAAGAGATATTAATATTTTACCCATGTTTTCTGACATTAAACAAATATTAGAAGGACTATGTGCACATTTATATAACAAGCAAAGATTATAGGCTGACTAGAGACAAGAATGGTTCCTGGAATTCTAGGGAGAACAAAGATGCATCAAATCTCCTACCCGCAAGTAGCAGAAGTGAACAGCCAACTCCAACAAAATTATCCAATGTCTATAAGTTAGATACCTCTGAAGTCATCAAGTTTCTTAGATATAGTATGAGCACTAATGTCTAACTTGGTACTCTACGACAAACAGTTTATTCACCTACCAAGGTCTGAATCTACATTTTATTGTAGTAGCAAATATTGTCCCCTTTAGTTGTGTCCCCTTAATGCTACCATGGCTTGTCCTGAGCAAGTGCCAGGTGTGAGGTCACAGAGGTTACAAAGGAAAGAAAAAAATGCAGTGGTGTTGAGAGCAGACAGCTCTTCAAGACCCCCTCTGTTTTTAATCTCAATACTATGTGAGCCCAGGGAATTTTTGAAACTTTCATTATTACTCATCTTCAAAAGTATCGTTTTTCAAATGTAAAACATAATCATGCTTAATATTATATTGATATGATAATATAATCATGCATAATAATCACAACATGCATTAAAATAATATACAGTCGGCCCGGTGAGGGTTCCACATCTGCGGATTCAACAAACCACAGATATAAAATATTTTAAAAAAATAAATAACAATACAACAATAAAAATAATACAAATTTTAAAATGATACAGTGTGACAACTATTTACATAGCATTTTACATTGTATTAGTTATTGTAAGTAACATAGAGCTGATTTAAAGTATCAGGTAGGATACATGAAGGTTATATGCAAAAGCTACTTCATTTTTACGTAAGGGACATGAGCATCTGCAGATTTTAGTATGCTGGGGGTTCTGAAACCAATCTCCTGTGGATACTGAGGGATGACTGTATACAAAGTCGACTACGTGTCTTTTGAAAAATTCTGTTCTTCAGTGATTGTTTGAAATACTTTAAAAAGCAAATTAAATAACTTCAGGTATATAAAACTTTACTAGGATATACTCAAATAGGCTCATATTTTTACCTTTGGCCCAAGAAATCCAAATAGCCCAGGATCCCCAACCAGTCCTGGTTCTCCCTACAAACAAGCACAAACATGCCTTTTTTCAAAAAAAAAAAAAAAAACGTGATTGGGTGACAAATTACCTCATTCTCATTCAGTTTGAACAACACATGTTCACTGAGACTCTCCGCAAAGTCCTAACACTGTTCTTGGGTTGCATCAGACAGTTTTGTGCTTCAAGTTTTGCAATAGCTGCTGAATCCTGCAATCCATAACATGGATGTGTCTGCCTTTCCAATTATTGTGTCTGCGTGCAATAGTACTTCTGAATGATACACACATTGCATTTACTAATGAAAATGTATTTATTATCTCTACAATGCTGTACATTTACCTTTAATCCTGGAAAACCTGGAGATCCATAGGAACCAGGGTCACCCTAATAAATTCACAAAATCAGCACAAGTAGAATTAAATCAAAATTCATAAACCAGCTCAACACATTATTTTTCACCTTACCAGATCATTCATGGATATTCAGTTTTGTTTGCAAAGGTGGCTGAATAAGCAGAAATAAATATAAAATAGATTCCATTTCTTTACAACATTTGCTACTTGAAGTGATCTTTAGTCTTATTCAAAAAATTCATGTCATTGCCAATGTTTTAATTAAGAATGTATTTTTGTTGTCATTGCTCTTCCAATTTTAATTTACTTAATGCTTTTACTGGGCCAAATATCTTTGAAATCAAGATAATATAATTTGTCTGGAAATTAATAGTTGTTCTGTGTTATCAACAGCAATGAAAACGACCATGGAAACCAACATTGCTCCAAGGTACTAAATCTAGAGCCAAATAAGCTCAATGCTTATGCCAGCTGAGCTCTGGCCTCCATTTATAGCCATGCTATAAATGGGCAGCCCATTAGTGACCCGCGTGGTGATGTTTGGGCTTGACATTGTGCTTTTTTCAGAGTTCCTGTCCCTAGATCAGCATTATTATTTTATCAAATAGGCTTAAGTTAACTATTCCAAGCCACTGTCATACTGACATTGAGCCAGACAAGGAGATGCCACAGTCCTGTTTCTTCTTCCCAATTCTTCTATCTTCGGCTTGCCTGTTTTATCTAAATGATGTCAACAGAAGGGATGTTCTGGGACATCTAGCCATTATACAATTCTTGTCCAAAATATATTAATCTTAAAAGTAAGATATTCTCCACTTCTGAGCTCACAAGTATAGTGATCTAGTCTTATAAAAATGTGAAAGAGAAATGCCTCCAAATTCATAGAATTTACATGAAAAAGGATCCTTACCCGAGGCCCTGGGAACCCAGGAATACCTTTCTCTCCTTTTGCGCCAATACCAGGTTCTCCCTTTAAGAGATGACAACATTTACAGGTGTTCACGTAACAATATTTCAGCAATAGGGAAAGCAAAAGCAAAATGAAAAAGAAAGATTTTTGCCGGCAGCTTAAAGAAAGCAACTACTTTAGAATAGTGGCCCCATCAGATTATGACAAAATAGTGAAAAATTATGGTAATATATAGTAGAATTTAAAGCAATGATAAAGACCATGTGAAATAACATTTTAATATCAGCACATCACACAAATCAAGAAAAAAGAGGTAATTAAATAAACTACCTTGGATCCTGGTGGTCCTGGCAATCCAATCACTCCAGGACTTCCTTTTATACCCTAAAAATCACAATGAATATAATCCAATTTATTCTTATTATTTAATATGTTAGATTCTGTCTTTTTCAGAAATCATCTATTTTGATAATCTGTTTTACTCGTTTTGAAATAAAGGATTACTCTTCGACTATCCTAATTAGCAACTAAGGGCTAAGCACACGTGCAAACCTGGCACTATTCTGGCCAGTTCTCTGCATGAGAGGTGCATGGGGCACAGGCCTGCACCACTGTGGAACCAGGGCAACAGGTGCAAATTGGGAATGCAGCCATTGAAACAAGTGGCTCATTTTGAGCGAGGTACAGAAATTTAACCTGGTAATTAAAAAGTGACAACAGAATCTGCTTGTGACATCAGTAATAGTGCTGGAGAGGAATTAATATTTGCCAAGAGTCTATTAAGTGCCCAGCTCAATGCATCTGTTAGTTTTTCAGTGATCAAAACATCAAACCCGTCTATAACATCTAAAGGACAACCAGGCTTCCAGTGGACTTTTCAGGCCACATAGCAAAACCTTAATGGGACACTATATTATGGAGGACAGGTCACAATTTAGCAGCCCGAGCTAGGTCTGCTAATCAGCAGCTGGGTAAACTTGAGAACACTGGTAGCTTTCCAAGCCTCGTTTTTCAACTCTATACAATGGGGCTAATCACAGCATGGACCTGTTAAGGTAGCGTTCAGACTAGTGCAGAGATGCATATAAAGCCCTCAGCACTTTGCTGCCATAGGTACATGTTCAGCAAATTTTTTTTATTGTTAACTTACCAAGATAACATATAGATTTTGGAATTACCTTTTCTCCTTTATAGAGAGAAAAATCAGGTGGCTCTATCAACAGGGTGGGTCCAGGAGAACCTTGCTGACCAATTTCACCCTTTAAAAAAAGCAAGGTAATGGGAATTTCATATTAATTTATGTTTTGAAGATTTTTATCCATGTATTGTATAATTCTTCCAATCCCATGTGTCATGGATTTAACATATAAGTCACGGCAAATACATCATATAATTTAAAATGATATTTATTGTTTTTCTTATTAAAATGTAATATATACTCATAGTTGAAAATAAATTTAAAAAATAAAAATGATCCTTAATCCTACCATCCAGAGATAATCTGTATTAAAACTTTGGTATAGTTCTTTGTGGTATGTGTGTGCATACATGTACATGTGTGTATATGTTTGTATGTATATGTACATATATGTGAATAAATGGTTTGTTAAATGTATTTAAAAATATACTATAATGAGAATACTATATAATAAATGCATAAACACAATTTAAAATACACAGCATATCTTATTAAAATTTTAAAATAACTTTATATTTTTAACAATATTTTGTGAAGAATTAAATGTAAAAGGTCCATAATCATATCACTTAGGAATGATTAGTAACAACCATTTGGGGCAATGTTTCTTAAATGGGGTAGGCAAACAAGTTCTGGAATATTTTACAGTTCTGCATCAAAATTTCAAAACTATGTTTTAATTCTCCAATCTAAAAGAATTAATATAAACATATTTTGAATCATTTCAATGGCCACCACATAGCCAAATACGTCCAAGTTATTGAGTAGATCCTCAATATCTATTTGTTCACAGTTGTTCAAAGAGCCACTCACCTACTGTTGGACTTCTATCACTTTTCTAAAGCTTATCCTTATTAAGTGTAATGCTTTAGCAGAGAAGACTTGTGGGTGTTTGGGGGGGGATGGGAGATCGTGTGTTGCTAAATGCTCTTGATTCCTGCTATCTATATTTGCATTTGTATTCATATTTATGGATGACGTTTACGATTCTGGTTAAATTTGTGAAACGAAGCCCAACAAATCGGTAATTTAACAAAACTGTTACTCCGAATGTAATATATTCTCAAAAATGTTCAATCTCTATTTGCTGGAATGAAATGTGTTATGAAAATTAACTTGGGTTTAGTCTTAAATGTTGTCAGAACTGCCATTTTACAGTCAAGGGTAACGGTGCCATAATAATTCAGCAAAGAAAAGTTCTAGCCGTAAAATCAGACAGTGACTATTAATGGATAACGAACCCAAGTTCAATAACCAGCAGAACAGCCTCCACCACACTTTACCATCTGCTCCTTCACACAACAGGGGATTCTTACCGGGTCGCCCATTTGCCCTTTTACTCCTACACCAGGATTACCCTGAGAAAGAAAAGAAAAGGAATCTAATTGCTTTTGAATTTTAAAAAATAAAAGCAATTAAGACTTCTGACTATGAAATGGATCGAAGTTTACCTAATACTTTGGGAAGTCTGATAAGAAGAAAGACATAATACCAACAAACGTCAGTGGTCAGTTATGTCACTGTGCAGGGTTCTATTTATGTATCTTACTCGTAGCTACCTACCTTCAAACCTGGACTCCCAGGACGGCCTGGAGGTCCCTAAATCAATGGCAAGAAAAAACACAAATCAATCATCAGTTTCAGAAATCAGAATGTTCCTTCGTTGGTTGCCCCAAGGTCCTATTTAGGAAACCTTAATTTTAAAACATGAGTGATGGACTTTCTATCACAGATGAGCCGTTGTCATGCATGAAGATGATGCCAGTGGCTTATCTCCAGGGACCTGTGCTTCATGGAGTCCCCTGATAACGGTGGGTGAGTTTTTGCTGGTTCATCAGATTACACTCTCTCAAAGAGCCCACCGGTGTCTGACTCAAGGTGGCAATTTTGCTTTTTTACTTTATTTTAACGTCAACTCTGGGTTTTTAAAGGAACCACATCAACAGTGCTGTACTTACCACTAACCCTGGCTCTCCGGGATACCCCGTGGGGCCCGCCAGTCCTCTTGTACCCCAGGATCCCTAAACATGGAAAAAAAATCAATGCATTCATTACCCAAAATCATAATCATCTTTCACAGGAAGAGTTACATGTAATCCCATATGGATAAAAACCTGTAAAGACATCATAGTTCCTGACACATCCGCCCTGTTGGAGCATCTTTGACAGCAGTTCTGCTGTAGCCCTTAAAATGGCACAGAGCTAGAGGCAGCAGCACTCTGGGAGGTAAGACAAACTCCCAGAAATCAATCTGCCTGTTTACAAATAAATCTTACAATAGCAAAAGTAAAGAGCAAAGAAAATTCATTCCTAGCTACTCTTAAATTTCATGTATAATTTTGACATATATCAGGATGCTTTAAAAATATTAATATTAATTAACATTAAACTATTCAATGTATTTATACTTTTTAATATATTTTTGAAAGGCAGTCTACAAGATCAATGTGAATAGAAATGTTGTCCTCACTTTGGGATCAAAATGAGTCAGCCACAAACAATTTTCTGCAACATGTAAGTTGTGGCAAACACACACAAATCGGCAAGAAAAGCTTGCAGCCAGGCAATAGTGGAAGTGTGCAGAGAGGCCTCTGAGCTCCCCGACTCTGCCCACGTCGAATGATCTGCGAGTGTGTAATGAAATTGCTCTCTTTAGGAGGACGAACTGGTATTTATTTTAACAGCGACATTCAGGTATCACGTTTTTTTACATGGAACCGAGCTTCAGTAGTAGTAAGGAAACCGACCCGGGAAAATAATTCTGTGGCTAGCCAGAAGTGACAAAGCAAAATTAGGAGCAAAATTAGGTTAGCCATTAGGAGGCAAAAATTGCTTTCAGTTTTAATCTTGTAAACATTGATAAATTGGAAAGACTAACATAATCACTGATTCATAAATTTTAGGAAAATCAAGATGGAAAGAAGCAAAACATTAACACACAAGTACCTACTTGGCAAGAAGAGAAGCAACGCAAAATCATTCCACTTGGCAAATGCTATATATATAGCTGCTAAGCAGACTTACTTTCCTAAATATTAAGTGGCTGCATACACCTGAGTAATGCAGAAAGATCATTAGAAGACAGAAGAGGAAGGTAAGAGGAAGCTTGCTGAGCTTCAAGGACAGCTTCCTGGGCACGAGCTGTAACCATCTTGAAATTCTTAATAATATCTGAACAAGGAACGTGCAGTCATCTGCACTGGGTGAGCCCCACGAATTATGCAGCTGGTCCTGCTGGGACTAAAATCTACTGTGGCTAGTAGCCTATCTGAGGAGGAAACAGAAGCGCACAACCTGCTCAGGAGACTTACTGGTAAGCCAGGCGGTCCTGGGTTCCCTCTGTCTCCCTGTAATAAATAAGATGCATTGCTTTATAAGAACAATGTTCCTAAAACGCAGATTATGTAACAATAAAAATACACACAGGAATTATTTGGACTTGTCTAACTGTGCAGTTTGTTCCATTTTGGGGGTTGAGAAGACACTTGAAGAAGGGGTATATGAAGGTGATTTTCTTTCCATTCTCATGCTCTGAATTCTCTTTCTACTCCACATAGAAAGATTGCTGGGGTCATGACAACACGGAATCAAGATGAGATTTTATCTTTCAGTTTAAATTGCTCGAAACTCTCAATCCAGTGGTCCCAATTCCTCACAGTTTACCTGTCTCTGGTCTAGCTGCCACACCTTGCCTTGCTTTGTAAACACTTCGTTCCTTTTGATCACTTTAGAGTGCACAAAAAGGGACTTCAGGTGGGAATTCCCTCACACCTGCCTCTGTGTTTCCTGCATGGGTTTATTATTTGAAAAAAAAATAATTTTTTAAACCTACCATGATCATACTACTTACCTGAATACCTTTAATGGCACCTAAAATGAACACGGAATTTCCTTTTTCTCCTTTTTCCCCAGGAAGGCCCTGAAAATAAGATATGTACTTCAGAGGAAAATTACATATGACCATTTCAGTATTTACTGTTCTATAGGAAATATTACGCACCAGTAAAATTACCATTATAGTCATGTCTAACTAGCAGAGATTTCTTTATCTTCTCCATTAGTATTATCCTCCTAAGGTTCTTGTATATATTTACTCAATGTTCAGTTAAGATCTGGTAAGGAATCTCCTAAGACAGAGTATGTACTAATATGTAGTTATTTACTGATTATTCAGCAGTAAACTTGCATTTTCCCTCATTGTATAAAGCACATGCATTGTTCTTACAAATAATCAATTTTTCAATTATTAATTTATGCCCTGGAAATAGTAAAAAAAATAATTTTTATCCATTTCAATACTTGTATTCAAAATAGAGCCTATGTATCCTTTGTAACAAGACTAACTTTTAAAAAATATTACATGTTCTTTTTGGAAGGTTATTGTATATGGTTGCTAGTTTGCTTAGGGTATTTTTTAAAAGTGAACAAAATACTTTTATATATTCTCCTCTCCCCCGCCCCCGTTTTCTTACTTAATATCTTAATATACTACTTAATATCTTAATGTATCTTAACTTGGTACCACATAAAAATTCTACCGTCTTCATATATCAAGCTCCTATGAAAGACATGCGGATTTCAAAGTTAACCCCTCTTAGTGGAGTGCCTGACTTCACTTCAAATGGGAGATACTTAATGATTTTATGGTAAGTTACATCAACAGTTTACTTGAGAAATCAGATTTGCCTATGCAGGCAGTCCTGGCTTTGCACAGATCCAATCTGCGTGAATTTCCGCTCCACAGTTGAGTTAAATAACACCAGTGTTCCAGCTACATGGCTCAAATTTCAGTTACCATTATATATTAATTGCATAACTGCATAACATACAAACTTCATTGCCAGCTCTTCAGTCAACAAATCACTACATAAATAACAGATGCGAATCGTGATCAACATCTCTTCTGTAAAAGCCTGTTGTCATTGGTCCCTGCACATTTATTATTCAGAGCACACGCACACATGCACGCACGCACAGCAAAGCTTGTAGTCATGTTGTTTCCTTATTTCTCAGTGATAAACCCAAATGGCATTTCACAAAAATGAAATGTCAAAAGAGGAAATTGGCCAACAAAAACAAAATGAAGCAAAGAAATGAAAAAATGGTAATGCTGGAAGTGAAATTCAAATAGAACATAAATGGAGTTATAGAAGAAACAGCTGACCATGGGAATATCGACACTGCTGTCATTTGAAAGACTCTAAATATGCAGCCAGAGGAAATTAGTAAAGATGAACACATCAACATAAAACAGCAAAGCAGTTGTGAAGAAAAGGATGACAATGTCCTGGAGGAAGTGACACAGGAAAAAAACTTCACATTAAAGGAACCCTTAGAGATACTTCACAACATTGGAAACAGATCCAAGCTTAGAAAGGAGCACGACACTTCACCAAGCCACAGAAAACACGTCCGCTTAGTATCATAAGTTACACGATGAGAAGGGAAGCACTACTGAAGAGCACTACTCTTGATCAGCTTTTACAAAGAAATACAACACTTGAGCTCTCAATATTTCAAATTTCAGTGTACTAAATAAATAGAGTTTTTTTCATTTCCCTGATTGTTTATTACTGACGGTAAGGAAGTATTCAATGTTTTACCAAAACATTTCAAAGGTCACAGAACAAGAGTAATTTTTCTCATCAGTTGATAAGGTTGCTTTGTGTGGTTTTAGCTTACATGGTCATTCTTACATCCTTACGTTACTGCGCAAAGTGAGGACTGCCTGTGTATCAAGTGAGTCAAGGGGAAGTAAGTTGCTTTGCAAAAAGACCATTATGACAAGCTTCAGTATCGTGGTCTGTCAGTATGACATGCTGTGTTAAAACTAAAATTAAGAAGGCTTGCTCTCTTGAATGTCCATGAATCAGTAGAATGAGATTTGATCCAATTTGAAGAGCTCAGAAAATGTGCATTCGCCAGGCTGCACTTGAGTCTTCAAATGGCTGAGTTGAAGAGCAAAAGGTGGCTGAGAAACTTAACAATGAAAGATGGTGGTTGTTCTTCCTTGGTACCACAAGAAAGATGTGAATATGGAAATTCTTTCTGAGTTTTGTATTCTGATCAGTTCCGTTAGGACCCGGAGCAAAAGGAAGACTCGTAAGAGACAGCAGGTGACTATGGTCGTGATGCTAAGGAAGTCTTCTAGAAGGAAACTTGAAAAGTGATAGTCAATCAGGGATGGGTAAAGACTGGACAACAGTCACAGAAAAACAATTTTGAAAGGCCAAATTATCTCTGATCTTTATTTAAGTGAGAAAAGGAAAAAGAAAAAAAGAGGAAAGGAATATAAAGTGGGTAGCTCTTGCTTAAGTTGTGTTTAAATAAAAGTCCAAAGTTCTGAAGAAACAAAAAGCCAAGAGCAGAAAAGTTTTCCTCAAGTGCTGGATATTTTCAACTGTTTCTGGACATCAATTCCAAATCTTTTCTAATTTATCTTCTTGCATTACAGGGGCTAGAAAAATAAAAACTACATTACCCCAGCCTCCTTTGTAGCTAGGTTTGAATTAGGTTCTGCCTACAATGTGGAAGGAAGAAGTAAGAAAGAGATTCTCTTCCTGGTCTGTTGCTGCCAAGCAGGAAAGTAGAAACTTCAGTGTTTGTTCGCTATTGTCTAGCCATGGGGGTGAGAGGCAGTGGGTACAGTGCAAGAACAGCTTCCTGACTCTGCATCTCTGCTAAGAGTGAGCCCTTGAAATCAGTAGTCCCATGGTGGTCCCTAAGTCCACTCCTCCAACCATTATGATAAGTGCCAAACTCCCTATATCAAATTCCTTTCTGTTTGAAATACCTAGAAGGGTTTATGTTTCTGCAGTGAACCCTGAATGATAAACAATGTAAGTTCTGCTAACTGGTCTCTCTAGTCCCTTTTTCCTAGTATCCATTGTCTGCATAGCAGCCAGAGACACCTTAATGAAACATCAATCAGATCATGTTGCTTCTTTCCTTAAAACCATCCAGTGCCTTCGTATAATATGGAAGAGAATATCTAGTCTCTTTCCATAGTCTACGAGGTCCCACATGTTCTAGGTCCTGCCCACCTCTCTGTTCTCACCCCCCAGTTACTGCTATTTGTTCATAATGCTCCAGGCACACTTGTATTAACTCTGTTTCTTGAACACACCCAGCCTGTTCCCACCGTAGGGCCTTTTCACTTATGATTTCTGTTAGGTTGAGCTGTGGGTGTCTTACTGGGGGGCCTCCTGGGCCAGGAACTCCTCTTCCTCCTGGAAACCCTGGGTCACCTCTTGAGCCATTGTAGCCATCCATACCAGGCTTGCCTCTGGGTCCAGGAGGCCCTGGGTGACCCTGCAGAAAACAAAATTGTAAATGAAGCACTTTTGCAAAAATAATCATAACAGGGAGATTATATAATATGAATACCCAAATTATGGCAATTATAACTCACAAACTAAATTGTTTAATTTTGTTAAACTTCCTTCTCCACCCAAAAGTGCTACATAACATAGTTAAAATAAAAATTAATTTAGTTTGGAATATTCTGGGAGATTTGGGAGGAAACCTTTCTTGAAGTCCTTAGAAAGACTCTAATGTATTATAAAGTCCCCAAATTACCTCTTTCTTCTTCCATTCAATTTTCATATTAGAAATCAGAATATTAAGCCCACTTCCAATGTTAGGACTCACTAGCAAATAAAAACTTTCCTATGAGTAATCATGTATTTCCAGAATATTATACTGTATATAATCAGTATATCTAGCTCATATTTTGTAATTTTTTCTCAAACCTGTTTGAAAACCTTGCCCTTCAAGTAAGTGTTTTGGTCTAAGTTATTGTACAAAATTGAAATACACACATCCTTCTGTTCACTAAAATGAGAAAACAAAAAAAAGAGTTTACTGTAAATATATATATAGCACTATAGTCACTATATATATTATATATAAACCTATATATTATATATATACACACACACTATATATATAAAGCACGTGGTTTTAAGGGTTTTGATGAACACTTCTCCCTTCTTTAAAAAAATTGAGAAAATTTAGGGATACTTACAGGTATGCCATCCAAACCTGGAAATCCAGGAACACCAGTTGGACCCTAAAATCCCAGAAAATAAAACACATAAAAATTACTAAATTATTTGCTCAACAAGTTGATTTACGTGAAAGCATTAGTAATTAATGATTCGTATTTAAATACTCTTAGCAATCTTTGTCACCTTTTTTTTTACATTGATGAGTTTAAAAGCCAACGGTGAAAAATCAATTTTTTGTACCTTTTTTTTTTTTTTTTTGAACTTAGGAAGGTAATTTGGCAGTACTGATTTAAATAAAATATACAACATGCTGTAAACCAGAAATTCAACTTCTCAGAAACTATCCTAGAGTAACGAACTCTTAAATGTGAACACAGGAAATTTATAGTATTTTTTTTTTGTACACCTACACTACATAAAGGTTGGGTAGAATTTCAAATTTTTATCAACAGAGAATAAACTTTTATCCATACTATGGCATAGTATGGATATATAATATTTTGAAAGGAATAAGTTCGGTCTATATAAACTGATAAGCAATGATTTCTAAGACATATTGTTGAGTGAAAAAAAAGATTCAGCATGATACATATACTGTAATATCATATAGGTTTTTTAAAAGCCACGTAACAATATGATTCCTCACCGGGTACGACATGTATTAATATTTAAGTGCATAGGAAAAGTCTAAAAGGTCTTGCTCCTCTGGAAAGGGACCGGGAATGAGCATGGATTATCGCAGAGGAGTTCAGACTTAATTTATCATAAGGTACAAGTATGTTCTACTTGTGATTATAAAACCCCAGCGCAGCAGTGCTGGCGAGTGGTTAATGTGAATCTCCACTTACCTTATCTCCTTTGTCCCCTGCTGCTCCAGGAGGGCCACTGTCCCCTCTCATTCCTTTCTCTCCTGGAATCCCAATGGGTCCTGGGGGTCCCAGGGGCCCAATTGGACCCTGTGGCCCTGGTGGTCCTGGCTGACCCTGAAAAAGAACATTAAAAAGAAGGAGGGTAATTCTTAACCAGTGTCTTTAACACAAATATATCGTCACTCGGGCCTCCAGAAGACTGGAAAATTGGATTTGAGCAAACTCTAATAAGAGAAACACAGATGATTGACTTAATATAAAAATAAGAAACAGTGACATTGCCCTTTTCAATCTGAATTTAAGTTATATGATAAATTTTAAATACTGCATGTACATATATATGTAGCATGCATGTAATGCATGTACGTCCAGAGAAACACATATATAAACTGATTATAGTTACCTTACTATTTTTCATTCTGTCAGTGACATTTGTAGATCTTGGGCTGTTAGGGAAACAAGGAACTAAAAAAATCAAAGTCTTATTACCATTATGTTAGTGACACAAGTTAGAGTGAGGGAAACTGCCAGATCTTTTATTTACTTCAAACAGCTAATGATCTGTCTGCCTTTTAGGGGGAAACATTTCCTTTTCGGCTGCTTTTATCAAATTCCTTGGTCATAATTTGGCATCAGGCTCCCCATGTCACATGATATTTATGCAGTCCAGCTTCCCATGAATGAAAAAGTCACCTCTTGTTTTGGTGAAGAAGCTTCATGAGCTCCGTGTTCTCCCTGAACCTAAAGTGGAACATTTTTGGCCCCAAAACATTTTGGGGGGCACTCTCTGGTCCCCATCCTGCCTGCTCTCCATAGCATTTGGACGAACCGACCCACTGAGTTAATGATCAGCTGTTGCCTGGTACCAGCGGCTGCGAATCTCACAGTTCGCTCTGTTCTGAAGTGAGGGAGCTGCGGCCTGAGGAGCACCCTGCCTGGACTCCCCCAACAGTGCTCTCTTCTCTGTCCCAGCTCCCTCCTCTCTCTCTCTCTCTCTCTCTCTCTCTCTATCCCCTCCCCTCATAATCCCTACACACACACACACACACACACACACACAATTCCCTTCAGGACTGCCATTTCAAATGCCGTGGCTTCTGGCACCCCCACAGATACGTCTCAGCTCAGACTCCTCTAACTTCCAGATCACATCCAGCTGCCTCCTTAACAGATTCTTGGATTCAGTGATACCTCCAGGAGAAGGAGAAAGAGAAGGAGAAGGAGAAGAAGGAGAGGAGGAAGAGGAAGAAGAAAAAGATGATGACAAATCCAAAAGGAACTTGATTTTTCCCCCAAATCTAATGCTCCACCGACCTTCCCCATCCACCCGTTCATCAACCATAAATCCTGTAAGTCATCCTAGATATTCTTCTTTCTGTCACATTTAAATTTAATCCACGATCAACTCTTATTATTTCTACTTCTGAAGTATATCTAACCCTTGCCCACCTCCCTGTCTCCCCCATCACTGTCCTGGCCCAGGTGAGCATGGTGGGACTATGGGCCCCAGCTTCCTGAAGGGCCTCCCAGCTTCCTTTTACCATCCTGTCTGGCACTAAACCACCAGAGTGGCACTAAAACAAATCGGATCACAGCATTGCCCCGATTTCTGAAACCCTTTCTTGTCTTCCCACTGAGTTCAGAGTAAACCGCGTGACACTCCTTTCCAGGCCCCTGATTCCCTCGCACCCACCTGCTCACGTTCACCACTCCCCAGCCACACGGCTCCTTCCATCTCGGACCTTAGCACGCACTTTCCCTCCAGGCTGCTCTCCCCCTCAACCTCAGGGGACTTGGATCTCAGCTCAGGTGCCCCCTCCCCAGAGGCCATCCTTGACAGCCCACCCCCAGCGAAATAGGCTCTCTGATCCATCCCCACCCCGTCAGTGTCCGTGACGGCATCCTGTCTGTTTCCTTCTTAGCATCTCAGCATTTCATGTCTTTAAATTATGTCTTTGTTCATCAGGGTATTATCTGCCTCTTCAGTTAGATATAAGCACCATGCGGGCAGGGATATTTGCTCACCAGTTAATTCCATCAACTTCCATAGCCTTTGGTGGAGGAAACTCTTTCGAATGAATACGGGATAGATGCACTGGCAGTGGCTCTGCCCACAGGCCTGGCAGTCCAAGCCTGACCCCCCACTCGCCTTGGACACCTTCTACCTGGGCCCTGCAGGGTCAGGAAAGTGATTTTTGAACTTTGAAAAAAGCAATTCTATCAAATGTAATCGTCATGATCTATATAGATTTATTTTATACATTCAAATTTACTTACAAAATAATTGATATATAGGATTATATATAGGAACAATGAGGCTATATATAGGAACAATGAGGTTATCTGAATGAACTGACAAATTTAGAATCTGGGTTTCCAAGTGACACTGCTAGTCTCAACATTTAATATATGTCTATAATTTGATGTGGGTGGAGGGTATCTTTGATTCATGCAATTTCTTAAAATGACTTGCTTTGCAATCTTAGAATAATACCCTTACATTAGATAAAGGAAAACTTTATAATGAGAAGTTTATAACAAGACTTCCACCAATGCAAGGAGATTTGGCTGCACAACACTATGCACTATGGTCTCTAATGAGACCAGTTGTGTCCAACACACTTCAGAGGGCATGTTCTATTCCGTGGAGTTTGAAAACACTGTTGGCATTCATTTGAAGCCAGGATATTCACCTACAATTTTTTGTGCCTCTTAAAGATTTTCCAAAGATTTAAGAAAAATTATTTTATGTCTTCGTACCCCACAAAACAACATGGATGACTGTATTTGATGAGCAAATAAGTCTTGACGTGTAGACAGAAAAGCTTGATGGATTTCAGGAGATAGTTGCTCAGATCAAATGTCTTAAAACTCCAGGACAAATACAGGGCTACTCCTCAAGAGTGCAGGGCCCTGGACAGAATATTCCTTGTGCAGTCCTGTCTATATAAAAATTTGAGTTACCTGCAATTAGCACGCCAGCTCCATCCTGGAGACCCAATCTTGTGCAATCCCATGAAGGAAACACTGAGCTGGCAGGTGGGAGTGTTCTCCAAGCGGCCACCCTCCTGAAACGAGGGCCCAGCCCTGGGGCCCAGACCAGCCCATAAGTATAAAGCCAGAGCTCCTCACGTGGCCAACCCCACACCGAGTCGGGGGGCAGAGAGCGCCCTGATGGGAAGAAGCAGTACCTAAGACTCACCCGGTCCTGGTCCACACCCGGGGTGCCACTGGCCTTGGCCAGGCCCAGACACCAGGAGGGAGAGAAAGTGCAGCCCTGAGCCCTGGCATCTGGGGCAGGTGCCCCACGACAATAATGCAAGAATATTCACCACAGTATTATTCGTAATAGCAGGAAAAACTGGAAATCCTGTGAAAATCCACCAACCAGAGAGTGAGTGAGTAAATTATGGTTCCTCCATCCAGTGAAACACCACACGACTGCCTGAGTCTGGGCTCCCCAGAAGCAGCACATGGGACAACAGGTCAATGCAAAGAGTTCATTTGAGAAGTGAAGGAGGAACAGGTAAGGGATGGAGAACGTGACACAGGGAGGGGAAGGTGGCTAAGAAAGGTGCAATGTCAAGTCAGTTACCCCCACGGGCGCCTGGAGCTTCACCTGGGGGGACCTGAGAGTCAGTGTGGGACACCCATCTCTGCCCCCTCATGGGCTGCGGACCGCGTGGTGGGCAGGGAGTGCCTGCTGCCAAGTGTGCTTCTGGGGCTTTGCGAAAAGGGCTCAGACAAAGAGATGCAGATACTGGCAGCTGAGGTCCCCAGAGTATAAGCACTGGAGCAACAGGTGTGAGGAGAACATGTAGGGCACCAATAGCACGTGAGAGCAGCCACTGGAGGGAGAAAAGTCCATCTGCCTGGGCTGACAGAACAGCCTCGTGATGCTTGTGAGGAAGAAACAGAGTGACTGAGTGCCCAGGCTCTACGGTCGGCCCCATACTGACTAGCTGTGTGACCTTGGGCATGTTTCTTAACCACTCTGTTGCTCGGCAACGTCATCTGTCAATGGCTTATAGGCGTAAAAAG